TTGTAATGCCGAGTAGTTCTGTAGACGTTTCGGAAGAGCATACTGTCTCCACTTTCAGAGTTGAAAGGTAAGCCAATCAAGTAACCGGCGAGAAAATGCAGGGGAGGGCCTAATGTTTCTCGCTGGTTTCTTTTTTATTGCTAGTGGGGTGGGACTAAGTCCCTTGTACTGCGGCCACTTCTGTCCTATTGTACCAGCCCCCAATGATAGGTGAGGGTGATTGTGGAGCAATTGGTGGAATAAAGATTGGCAGGGGAAACCGAAGTACTCGGAGAAAACCTGCCCCAGCGCCACTTTGTCCACCACAAATCCCACTTGACAAGAACCGGGATCGAACTTGGGCCGCCGCGGTGGGAAATCAGCGACTAACCGCTTGAGCTATGGCGCGGCCCAACTTTAGGTCTTACTCTGTAGTAGGAAAAGCAAGACAGATAGAAGCTGAGGATAAGCACAGAGTTCCCGGGAGAATGAAAAGCAGCTCTTTCAAGAATTAAAAAATGAAATAAAGAGTTTAATGAGAATTAAAACGTCTTGAAACACGAACCTGCAATATAAATTATGTGCAATAAGGCACGGATTAAGCAACGTATAACAGAGAAAGGTTAGGTTCAGCTCAACAAATGACGGCCATTAATACTGACGTCATCATATTTTCCCACCCATAATGCCTTGCTAAGGAGAAAACTTGTCTTGACACCCTCCCATCTGAATGGGAAACAAGTTTCGGTGGTAATCAGACGGCTGAAACACTGCATGTAGAGTGGAGTGGGGTTAGAGGGTCTCTTATGACGGGCTTTGATATTAGAGGTGTTGAACCTTCTGGTTCTGCTACCAGAGTTAGTTAATTAGCTCCGTACATTGGGACAACTTATCATCCCCCCCCCAAAGCGAATTCATCAATTGACACTAAACTATGCAACTGACAAATGCCGTCGAAGCAAACTGTTTGTAAGCTGCTCTGCACTTTCTATACGCGGACCACGGGCTGGGAAACATCTTGTGGACGGATTTCATTTGTAAGGCGGGGTAGTATCGGGCGCGCCTGCTTGTCTCTAAGTCATAATTAAAAATTATACTTTCAAAAGCGAGAAAGGAGTTTGTTAATTGAGTACAACCACGCGGGCCACATGGGACACATCCTCCCCTTCATTTAATTTCTGTAAATTAAAAGTTAGCAACCCTCTTTGTTCACAATCGACCCCCCACCCTCCAACACAAACAGATGGAGGGACATAGCCAAAACAGGGGGAAATTCACAAATCAAGATATCGGCTGATCTCCATTCTCTGCACCAAGGCCATCTTCAGTGCACAATGAGAGGCTGATTGACTATATGATTCATCAACTAGCTTAGCAAATATTTACTTATTTATGGTTCATTCAATGCACACTGCCAGTCATTCAAGATATACTCGTATAGTGCTCATGGTTTTGATTGTGGTGAATAATGAATTAGGAAGAATGTGGAAGGAAATGGTCGTTGCCTAATGTAAGTTATTGTCATGGCCTTTCCTTGGAGGCAATGAGGAAGACAACCAACCTCAGTCAACTGAGATTCCAGTCAGGCACCTTTCATACAAGTCAGAAGCACCACTGCTTTAGTCAACTTGACTGGTAGCTCTGAACTCTGTGGTATGTTCATGTACCAGCTGCTTTAACATAAGAAAAAAATCTGTATTTTATCCACATGGTGTACTTAATTTGTTTTGTATGATTGTCAGAATATACAGCAATTACTTCAAACAAATATTATGTTTCTGGAAATTATCCATTGTCCTGTTTTTATTTAAAACACACAGCGTTTCGGAGATTGGATTCTGTCTCTGTTTTCAGGTGGAACCTAATCAGTTGGGACCAATCAAAGGAGCCAGTCCTTTTCTCCAGATACCTGCACCAACATAAGACATGGCATACAAAGCAAGCACAGCACAAAATCTGAGAGAGTTAAGATAAACTTCTTTTATGATGGTACCATATAGAAAATTTATCTATCACTCTGGTGCTAGGCTTCATACATGTGGAGTTTTATTTTTTTAATGTTTTAACGTTTTATCTTAACTCTCGCAGATGATTTGTGCTGTGCTTGGTTTGTATACCTTAACTTGTGATGATGCAGGTGTCAGGAGATAGAGACTAGCTCTATCAATTGGGCCCAAATGAGTAGGTTCCACCTGAAGAGAAACACAGAACTCAGTCTCCTAACGTGATTTAAATAAAAACAAGACAATGGATAATGTACAAAAACATAATATTTCTATTAATGTACCATCATCAAACACTTTTAGATCTTATTAGCAATTACTTCCCTAAACAGCACCAACTGGTTCCTTTTTGTAATGGAGTCAGTGTGCTATCTGCAAGCCAGGAATTAGTTCTTAATACTATTTAGACAAACTTCAGGCTGCAGATGGATTTTCCAAGTGATTAATAAACAATGTAATAAAAATGAAGTAACTACCTTATACTTAAGTAATTACTTGAGATCTGGTGCTGACTATGAACTTTATTTGCTTAAGGGTTGTGACACCAAGCAGTCTGGTAGTTTGTTACAAATGTTTTCGAAGTACCTACTGCCTCTACCATCAACACAGAATTCCCTGAAGATGGAGGCATCACATTCCTCCAAAACATTGGTAAAATCTATCAGATGGCAATACTCTTAACTAATTGAATGAACACTTAATTCACTACCTAATCAACTAACGGATTTGAAGGTAGCAGTGCAGGGGCCAGTTTTTATGGCCCACTCCTTACATACATACATACATACTGACTGGTCAGTTTCATTGTACAAGATCTGCCTTCAAGAGACTTCTCTTCATTTGACCACTAGACCTTGCTGTTATGGAAACAGAGACTTATTCACAAAAGTCTGCCACTGGACATTAATCCAAGCAGCATGAATTAGATTAACTTCCGCAAACTCTTAAACTTCTCATTTTAATATTATCACTTCAACTATATGCCCCACCCACCTAACGTTCCTTCATTTCATCATCCTAATAATATGCATTTGGTGGCAGGTGCGCGTTATGAAGCCCTCATTATGTCTCATTCTACATTTTTATGTTACTTTCCCTCCCTTAGGTCAAAACATTTCCCTTATGACTGTCATAAAAGACCTTCTTGCTTGGCTTACTTTAGATCCTGAATATGGAGGCGACACATACCTCTGAAACGTCAGTTGACTCCTATTGACTACATGGCATTAGACTCCACTCTCAATCAGCATTCTGCTCTTATCTCTTATCCTTGATACATGAATCACCAGAACAAGTTTCAACACATGCATTAGCACAAACCAACAAACACTTAGCTTGTCTCCAAAATAAACACCCACATAACAGCTTGTAAATGGAATGCAGCAAGACTGAAAATGTTTCCGAATTATTTAAATGAGCTGTCACATGTTATCATTTGACAAAATCCCCCCTTGGAGGGATGGGGGTGTAAGCAGCTGCCAGTGGTGACAAGACAGGCAGGGTTTGATTGAAACAGCTCTCGAGGGTGGAGTCCATCAGAGAGACAAAACATTCTTCGCATGGTGTGTGGTTACGAATGGACCGCTAGAATAAATATTGTGAGGGACGCTAGTACAGTCTGATCATGAAGCAAGACTGGAAAGCATGTACTTCATAATGCAGTACACAAAATTATGAAAACATCAAAGCCTGTCTTTAGACATGATCTTCTGTCAGTTCCATCTACCTCACATTCTCACAATATATTTTCTTAAGATGTACTCAAATATTTTCCTCCAATTGTCTTCTCAGTTTTCCTAATATATATTTACCATGAGATTCCCCTGCCCCAAAAATGTGTTAATTTCTTTACTTCCCAGCTCACCATAACTTATTTCAGTAATGTAACATACCAGGCAAGTTGTACACCTCATGAAGTTCCTCTTCATGTATTACTCTCCATTCCCCACTTCCTGCACCTCTTTTAGACACAAACATTTCCCACCTCTCTGCCAATTCCTGAAGCGTTATGTTACAGCTCAAAGAACAAACACAGTACAGTACGGCGAAGGTTGTTAAAAGATATTGAAAATTTGGAACCAAATGGGAAAAGGGCTTGGGAAAATTAAGGGGGTTGCAACAGGAAGTGGAAGGGCAGGGACAAAAGAAAAGAACTGGGGAGCTGTGAAGTGGAAAAAGACAACGAGAACTGGGAAACATATATACTCACTCATAGCCCTCTACAGCGATTACTGATCGATCACTAATTTATACAGGTAGCCCACAGATGTGCTCTACAGGGCTCTTTAACGACTCAAATAAGATTCAGAATTCACACTATATCTGCAATTTAACTGACCCCCCCCCCAAAAAAACCGTTGTGATTTAGGGTAAGTTTCATTCCTCTTTTATCCCTTAACTTTCTTAACTTTTAGCTCATATTTACATGGTGTTCTTGTATGATGTATATATTCAACTGCAACATTTTCAGAACCACCTTTTGCCTTAGGATTTGGCAGACAGATCTGAAAAATACAGGGTCTGCCACTGCTCTTACTGCACAGGGTATTTTAATTTTTATAAAAATTGTCATTAACAAAATTATGAAAGTAAAGTTGGCATTCTGCTTAAATACCATGTGACGAAGGCTTATGGGGGCATGGATGTAAAGCCTTAAACATCTGAGAAGTTGAAATTAGATGGAACTGATTGGTCAGCTTCAACCTCCTGCCCTGAAGAGGGAGGTCCTAGTTTACACTGAAACACTGGCTATCACCTAAAAGAAATTCTATATTTACTTTTTTGTATTTTGTAAAAAATGATGCCTCATGTTTTCATACAATAAAAAAAAATTTTCCACTTGAAGCTTTCCTCTATGGCACTGGAGCTTCCCAGTGTTGAGCGAGCTTGGATTTTCTCCACTTGACACTTCGGAGAGCTTCATTTCTAATCTGAAGAGTTGCAGGAATGCTACTAACTGCTCATTAACACTGACAGTAGATTGGTGTATTTATTTGTGGTTTATTTAACGACACTTTCAGTAGTTCAAACTGTACGGTGTTGAATGATTAATAAATGATGAATTGGAAGGAAGTGGTTGTGGCTTATTTCAAGGTTCTATCCTGGCATTTGCCCAGAGGGACTGAGGAAAACCACAAAAATTTTCAGTCATGAGAGCATCCCGGCTAAGATCCAAACCAGGCACCTTCCAAAGACAAAATAAAAGTATTACTCCCTTGGTCAGCTTGCTCGGTCACTACGTTGGGAATAATGAAACAGAAATGTGGGATGGGAATTAGGGTGGCTAATAACTAACCAGTTATGGTTATTATTTCTTCAGCCATTGCTTCAGCTGTTCAATACACAAGCAGAATTTAAATGATAGTATAGCAGGGTTCGCTTGGTGTCAGAGTGTGATAAATCCAGTATGGTGATAAAACTCATAAGATTTGAAAGTACTTATATAATTTTAGAATGACATCAGTTTCCTATCAGAAACACAAAAACCTTAGTGTCGCTAATCTGCATAAAATTTATAAACCTGTAAGGCAAGATACTGGAATTTTTGTCTGTTTCATGATGAGGTTGAATGAATTTTGGTAAACACATTCCCACTGACTAGAAACCTGTACCCGCCATTGAATTACCAAAAATCTCTCCTTCAGTCGACATACACATGCGATTAGTATCAACTGACTACAAATCTCTGCCCCTACAAGAAGCCTCAATTTTAGAGACAAATTCTGATTTTGAGTGGGTACCCTTCTGCAATTCCTGAAGACATGGTTTGTTAATAATAAATGGAAATCCACATTAATACAACATTTGTCCATAAAGTTCTGAGACTTATTCTGTAAAAAATACAAAATTCAACTTATTAACTAATGGCTCCTGTCCCCTTCAAAGTAGTCCTCTCCACAGTTGACACACCGTTGCCAGCATTTCGAGAAGTCCTGGAAGCCGCTGTCAAATCCCTCATTCAGAAACAGAAAATGGAGAGAGGTCAGGGGAGTACAGGGATGTTGAAGCACAGTAACATTGTGTTAGCAAGAATTCTGTTGACACTTGGAGCTGTGTGTGGTCTCGCATTGTCATGCAACAAAGTCCACTGTCCAGATGCCCAAACATCAGGACGACGACATCAAAGTGCCTTGCGCATACGCCTGGGTATGAAGATATAAAAGTCTTGGTTGACAGTTTGTCCTTGCAGAACAAATTTGTGATGAACAATACCCCTGGCATTAAAAAAAAATCATAGTCTTTATTTTTGATGGCTGCTGCCTCAGTTTCTTTGACAGTGGAGAACCCGTTCACTGCCATTCAGCGCTTTGCCTCTTTGTCTGAGGGTCGAACTGGAAACACAATGATTTGATACTGATAACGAACATGGAATCATTCTGTGCCTTGTGTAACAAATCAGTACAAACCGAAGCTTGCACCTCCTTTTGATTCTGAGTGAGTGTGTGTGTGGGACTACCCTGCCATTGAGTTTTCGTTTACCCAAGTTCTCTTGCAGAATTTGGTTGCAGGTCAACTTCTTGATATTCAGGGCATCAGCTAAAGGTGCAGCCACACAGAGCACTACACTATGTTCGCTACACCGCGTGGCCACACAGAAAGCTATGTTTGGTATGAAACTGCTCAGTCTTGAATGAGATGTTGGCTGATAGTGTGCCATGGGGGGCAGCGATGATTCCGACAATGAGCTTTTCCTGTTACTTTCCTTGTGTAAACGTAAAAGGAAGTGGGTGCATGGCGTGAACTTAAGAAGAACAAAGTTTGGTGAATTTCATCATCTGATAAAGCAGTTACATGAAGATGAAGTTATATTTCTGAATGAATACGAATCAGTTTAATAATCTTTTATCACTTATCAAGGATGAAATCGAAAAGAAGAAACTTAACTACAGAGAAACTATTTCAGCAGAGGAATGACCGGCTGTTTTTTTGAGGTGAGTTATCATGTGTTTTAGTAATTAGTTTATTTGTATTTTTTTTATTTCTAACTTTTAACAAAGACTATATGCTACATATAGGTCACAGAAGGGGTACTAGTTGACATCATCATTCAAAACGAACTGTCATTGCTTCTTGCACATCCATCTGAAAGACCTGAAGCGTTTTCTTGCGCCTGATTATTGTAGCCCGTTGTCGCAATGCGGGCTTCAGATGAAGACTGACTAGCAGCAGGAGAAGGTTGTGCTTGATGGCAGAATTCGGTTGAAAAAGTGGATGACTCAGTGCCCAAGCACTCCATTTCTGCATTTAAAATTGCCTTCATAACGTCTTGCTTTACCCTTAGTTGAAAACAACGAGGAAGGTGCTTGGTGCTTTCGCACACACTGGCAAAGAAATACTCAAGCTCACCTGGTTGTTTTCTATCCCTTTCCTTCTCTTGCATGAATGTGATTACTTTGTCAACATTGTGTTCCTTGTCGAACCTTTTCCCAAACTTCCTGCCGTTTTTACTCCTGCTCTCTCTTCTGTTTTGAAAGGCTGATTCTGTCTGTTCTTCTTCTTCCTCATCCAACGTGAGTCCCACGCCGTCCTCACGCTCCTCGGTTTCCTCAACTACGTCGATATTGGATTCAGTTCTTCGGAAGAAGAAAACAAAACATATGCATATATAAGAATCTTAATATCTCAAGCAGCATATCACAGTATGTATAACATCAGAAATTGCACTTACTGCCGTGGAGTTAGGTCAGACAGTAGGAAAGACATTCGCGCCTCGTACTTCCACGGTTTCATTTTCCTAGCACCCTGACCACTTTTTGTCTTTCTTCTTAGCATAGCTTGCCTGTGACTATCCTGCAGTTTCTTCCCATCTACTTTCAAATCCTCCACTGCAGACACACACCATAATAAATTATAATGCATATAATAGTGTACTTGGTACTAGTAAAATACGACTAATAATCATAATATTTTTTCTTCGTTGCAGGTACCTAGCAACTGGGAATTCGTTCCGATCCATGGCTTTCACCTATAGCATGGGTAGGTCTACAGTCAGTGATACTGTTGAAAATGTCTGTGAAGCTATTTGGAAAATTGTGCAACCTATAGTCATGCGTGAGCCCAATGAAGAGATCTGAAGAGCATATGAAAGAGATTTCAAAGAAAAGTGGAACTTTCCTCACTGTGTCGCAGCGATCAATGGCAAACATGTTTGTATTAAAGCCCCTTCGTTACGAGGCTCAGAATTCAACTACAAAAGATATCATTCTGTTGTATTGCTGGCATTAGTTGAGGTTAATAAAAGACTCCTCTTTGTTCAAGTAGATGTAGGGCAATATGGGAGACTTAGTGATGGAAATGTTTTTGCCAACAGTAATATTGGTAAGCGCTTAGCAAGACAAAAAATTGAATTGCCTCCAGATGAAAATTATGGGGACATTCCTTTACCATACATTGTAGCTGGTGATGAAGCTTTTCCTCTTAAAAAGTACCTCATGAGACCTTATCCCAAAACTGGTCAAAGTCTTAGTGAGGCAGAGAAGACTTTCAATTATTGGCTTTCAAGAAGCAGAAACACTGTTGCAAATGCTTTTGGGATCCTTGGGGATATATCATCAGCCTTTTGAATGCCATGATCAGCTTGCCGACGAGGCAATCCAAGCTACCGTTGTCTTCTATAATTATATACGGCTAGAATCAACCCAAGCCGGCATTACTCCTGATGGAGAAGAACACACTCAGGCAAATGATTTCGTTCAATTGGGCGCTGCTACTGCAACAAACTAGACAAGAGAGGCACTACAAGGTCGAAATTCATTCATGGAATACTTCATGTTTGATGATGGTCGAGTCGAGTGGCAACACAGAATAGTAAATCGTGTGGCTTACTAGACTGAATGGAGAAATGGGTACTAGGTAACATCCGAGTATGGCCGAAATATGGAAACTGTGATTTTAAACAATTATATTTTGCAAAACTTAGAATACATTTATAATTAAGAGTATCCTAAAACTGTAGCAATAAGCAAACCTCGTAATTAAGAAATGAAAGATAAAATATTACTTCTGAATTCTCATAATAAATATTACTGTTTCACTGGGGTTGATGAAAATATTTAAGTTCTTCACTTATAGATAAAAGAACAATGTTTGTACATTACCTGATGTATTCAATTCTCCAGAAATCATGTCCCAGGCATTATCCCACATGTTCTGGTTCCGATATTCTTCTAACCCTTTGTTCACAAACACGGACTTCCTTACTTCTTCAATTACTTCCTCCAGTGTCATTTTCATCTAAGGAATACTGCGCTGAATGATACGTAATACGTGTTGTAATCAGAGTGGGAAATTACTGAGGCGTGCAGCTGACACCTGGAAGTGAGCCCAGTGCGCATGCCCGTCCAGCACGACGTTTTAAAAATATAGCCGAGAATCAAACACTCTGCGATGCAGCTAACATAGCGAACATAGCGTACGTAGCGTACGGAAGTCTGTGCGGCCAGTCACATTGGCAATAAAGGGAGATATTTTTCTGTTCGTATAGCGAACATAGCGTACATAGCACTCTGTGTGGCCACACCTTAACAGTATGGTCTTCCGTACCATGTCTCTGATGAAAACCACGTTGTCTTCATTCTGGGAACTCGAAGGCCAGCCTGATCTTGTGTCATCCTCCATGGACACCCTGCCTGACACAAACTGCCTGTGCCACTCAAACACTCGTGCCCGAAATAAAGCTTCATTGCTGTCGGCATCATGCAGAAGCTGCAATGTCTCTGTGGCTGTCTTGCCCAGCTTCACACAAAATTTGATGTTAACTTGCTGTTCAAGTTGAATGTTCATTCTTCTCACAGCACAAATCCACAACTGACAAGTGACATGGGTTTTCCGCCATGCGCTGCCACCTAGCGGAGTTTGAGCAAACTAATGTCAATAACACAGGCGATCTGTAAAATGTCCCATATTTAGAACACCTTTTCCCAGAAATGCCACCATTTACCTAAGCCAAGATATTAAATCAAGTCTGGGAACTTTATGGACAAAGGTTGTAGAACATTCACTTTCAACAAACCACAAATGCATATGAACCCTTACTCTAAGGCAGAAAGTTCTTAGCAAAATAAGGACATATACATATATATGATCTAGTTCATTAACAGTGAAAAATAAGTCCAGACACAGCTGACTGGATGCAAGTGCATTACAGGCAAAGTCCCTGGCTCCTGGTCTCCACTGACAAACCAGAAGATTTTCTGTAACTGGAAAATCAGAATAAATCTCAATGAAATCCCCCCTCCTGAGTGCAGTGAAAACAGTGTTAAAATGTGTTTACAAACGTGCTAGAACTTTCCCACATGTCACATTTTAATGTCATCTCTTCTGTATATGTAGAATCATATCATTTGAGGCTTCTATCCAAACATGATTTCAAACACTTTTAATGGTTTTTACCCATGCATAATACTTCATACATTCATTAACTTTTCCCTCACATGTCATGTTTAAAAGCTGTTTCAATTCTGGCTTTCCCATGTCACATTTGAAACTTTTTTCTCCTGTGTGCACATATAATGTCTTGTTGACTGGGAACAATATAATCCTTCCCCACATATTTCAGGTGGTTACTTAGCCAGTGATGTTTCAAGTATTCACTAAGCAAGAATATTTTCTAATGTCACATGTGTACAGGGATTCTGCTGTGTTATTACACACTGCTATTTTCCAAAATGCTCTTCCACGTTTCATCTGAAGGGCTTTTCACTCATGTGTGTACGAATGTGATACTTCAGGTTCCAACTCAGTGAAAACAATTTCCCACAAACATCACATTTGAATGGCTTTTCCCCTGTGTGTGTAAATGTATGATGTTTCAAGCTTCCATTATTAGAAAACGCTCTCCCACAAGTGTCACATTTGAAAGGCTTTTCCCCTGTGTGAATACGAACATGACTCTTCAGATTTCCATTATTAGAAAACGCTTTCCCACAAATATCACATTTAGAAGGCCTTTCTCCTGTGTGCGTCCGAAGGTGGTGCTTCATGCCTCCTCTCTCTAGAAACACTTTACCACATATGTCACATTTAAATGATTTCACCCCATTGTGAATACGAACGTGACGTTTCAGATTGCAATTATATGAGAACACTTTGTAACATATTTTACATGTATATGTTTTTCGTGTCGTTTGTCCCTTGCGTTCCGAGCTTGTCGATTTTTTTGATGAGTCCACATGCACACGAGTCTTCTTATTTCCACTGCAAGAGGATCTCTTCCTATGTATGCCGGACACTTCATTTTCTGAGTCTCCTTGCGCTGTCTGCCGAAGGGCATGATCTGTGTTGCTTCCTCCGTACTGATGGGCAGTGAAGATGTGTTGACTGCGACAGAATAAAGATTGTGGGATCTGAGGTTCTCACAGCAATGACTGTGAAGATAGAACTCTTCATACTATATAGCGTTACTTTTGACAGTGATGTCAACTATCTATTCACCAAACTACACGGCTTCACATCCCAGAAGACTAACCTTAACAGTATCATAGTTTTGTCATCCATTGTGCAGTTCAATGGGATAGAATCTGCTTTCATTAAGTTCAGGTCAACAGGCTGTGGCTGTCACATGTTCTTTCCATGCAGAGTAACTGATTGCCCTCTGCAAGTTATATACTGTGGGAATCAATTTGAAGAGTGATATGTCTTAGTAGGGAAACACTAAGTATCTGTAGCCGGTCAGTAAATTTCTCTCAGAGTACATGGTATAACATCTCAAAAGGGTTTACTCCTCATAGTCACCATCATGAGGACTTCATATATCAATGCTGACCATGATCAGTTTCCTGTAGCCAAGCACAGTGATGCAGCATTCTTATTACTGATGCAACAATCTTCTACTATAAACAATGACTGTAATGGAGTAGATACGTACTAACTGCACCAATTGCATACTCACCTGGGAACAAATGAGTCATGTTCCTCTGACATCGCAACTCCATCTGCTGCAAAATCTAACATCTCTTCCTGAAATAAATGTATGCTGGCTCAGTAATGTGCAGTATATTCATATAAGAATGAAAGAGGTTCTTGGGATCGTGACTCTGAAATTTACTGTCTTCTGGGATATTATGCCATGTAGTCTAGTTCATATTTACTTCAAAATGTTAGTAAATACTACCAGACTATACAGAAACACATGCCGAAACCAGTAATTTCAAGAAATGAAGAACCTGTAAATCTGCGCATCAGAACACATGAATTTCTGAAATACAGTGTAGCTTCACATACAATTTCAACATAAGAACATGAACTTGAATTTAACAATGTTAGAATATCCTAATGGGGGGCATGCTGTAGCATAGATGGTTGGGGCACTATGCTACAAGCCACAAGGTCACAAGGTCTTTTTCAAATGATCTAATCCTTTCAGTTGCACTATGGCCATGGGGTTGACTCAGCCTCTGACAGAAATGAGTACCAGGAATCTTCCTGGGGGGTAAAGGGCAGCCAGCACATAAGGCTGACAACCTCACCGTCATCTGTGAGCTGATGGTCTATAACAGGCATGTCCAACTTCAAACAGGTTGTGATCGACTTTTTAGTGTCAAAACTGCCAGTGATCTACCACCCCCTCCTAACGGCGTACCTCGCTTTAAGCAAAAATACTGGTAAAAATAACAAACATGATGTTTGTTGACTGGAGGGAGGGAAAGAAGTGAATCACATGTTCTGTCGATCACTCTTGCATCAGAACGCACGCGGCTGACGACGAGTGATGAAATAAGTGTTCATGTGATAAGGATAGAGTAGGGACTTCCCCACAGTTCATTTAACACGAGTATAAAGCAATTTTCATGTAAGCTACATAAAAACAGAAAAGACTAATATGTATTTTCCCTTCAAAATCTGAATATAATCATATTTTATTACAAGTGAATTTACATGCTTTTCATGTATAATTTCCTTATAGGCCTATGAGATCGACCAAAAATCATCCCACGATTGATGCATTGGACATGCCTGGTCTATAAAATGTGGCAGCCTCAACGTCTCACAACCATATGAGCCTCCACAGCCTGTTTACGCTTTTAGAATATCCTAATGTAAGTACTGAAATAATATCAGGAAAGATACATGCTATCTAGAAGTGCATATAATTTTGAGTATATTGCTGCAAGGTTTTATTTCATTGCTGACTATGCATGCTGAAATTCATTTTATTTTCATCTTTCTGTTATATTAAATTATTTAGTATTTGTAATTACAGTGGAATGAGTAAATAGTCTTTTCATATTTGCATATATTTCATTACTATAGGAATCTGATGATGGTATGTTACACTCAGAATTACTGCAGTTCTGAACTTAGTACATCATCCAATATTCTGAAGAGAATACAAAGTTTTGGAAATTGGATCTATCTGTCCTCAGGTGAAATTACAGCACCCAGTGAATGAGATAAATTCTTTCTAATGATCTAACTGAGCAGGTGCCTCCCATCTTTCCAGCTAAGGATGGAAACAGATTCAGTTTCCAAAACTGTGTGTTCTGATCAGAATATCAGGCAATGGACAAAGTCCAGAAACACAGCAACCTCAAGACTGAATGATATACATTTTTTACGATTTAGATTCATCCGCATTTAAGAATAACCGAATGTACCCTTTTGCAAAAAAATTAATCATAAAATTAAGTTAAAATTTAACAAGAATCATGCAATGAATACCTACTACCCATTTCACGACTTTTGTTATCAAGTTATTTCTTGATATGCATCAAATGAGACACACTAACATGATATTCATTTGATATGACATAACATTTGAAAACTAATTCAACTACAGAATCAGTTTTAAAGACTGGAAAATGAAATGTGACGTACCACTTCTTCATTCTTCAGGACAACTGGAGATGTTGTTGGAATGGCCAGCTCATCATGTTTCATGTCAGGAAGTGGATCAGGTTCACTATCTGAATCCGGTTCCAATTTAACTGCATCCAAGAACTTCTGTAAAACAAAGCGTGGATCATATAGTATATATAAAAGTGTAACGTTCCTTTTGCCTACCAGAGATCTAAACGAGAACATAAGATATTATAAAATTTACTCAGTTCTCCTACAATATACATATATGATAAGATTGTTAAAACAACGTGCAAGTACTGCATTACAATTGCATCTTTATTACCAATCTTCTTGTTGTCTGTTTTTTTTAAATATAAATAAGTATAAGGGTATACAGGTTTCAAGATTTTCAAGAAGGCAGTGATTGTTCATGCTCATCTGCTGGATTGTGACATCTCTCAGTCAACATGGAAGGTGCAGGCATATTCATCCAAAACATTAATCTCTCTCTACAAGACTATATTGTGTCATAACTAGGGACCGGATTTTAATGCAAATGCATATTTCTTTCTTGCAACCAGAACGTATGCTCGTTTGGATATATGTATGAATTACTTCATTTCTTAAGTTTTGGACATGGTTTGATGGTGCATATAAATGCATATTTTGCCCGTTTTATGAATAAGCGTCATATTTTCGAAGATCTCTATTTATACTGCATATTTCCTTTTTAAAATGTTTATCATATATATTTTTTAATTTTATGTTCAAATTTTCAATCATGGTCGTGTGTGTACGATTTTAGCCAGTAAACGTACTGAACTGCCAAGTAAAAAATCACTAACAGTGGAGCAAATAGCGGATTTTGTACACGTGCCCCTAAGTTCCTGTGAGGTGGAAAGAAGTTTTTCCCGCTATAAGGACATCTTACGAGACAATAGGAGGCGACTAACTATGGAAAACCTAAAACATTTAGTAACTGTGAACTGCAA